ATTGAAACTCTCCCATGACATGTGATTCATCTTAATTTGTCCACACACATTTATTACAAATCTTATGTTCACATTTCTTACAACACTATCGAGGGTTTTCATGGCTTCTCTTTCAGTCTTTCAGTCAGTAAGAGGTAGTGATTTCTTGGGAAGTCAGTTGTTGCTTTTGACACATGTGTGGTGCTGTAACCTGTTTCATCAAACCCTGTCAGTGAAGATCATCCACATGGGCCTTTGGTGGTTGGACTCAGATGATTGTTGCTTGCAACAGACCGTTCTTCATTTTATACTAGCACTTTAAATATTCCAGGCACAGAAGAATAGTGTTTGTGGAGCAGGTTTATCTGCTGTTGTCTCTTGAAGGTTGAGATGGTCTCAGAAGATCAGATGGACGTTGAATGTTTGAATATTTCTGGAGTGGAGCTTCTGAAACTCATTGTGATGGAACCACTAGGTGGCGGTATTCACTGTAGTGACTATTGACATGGAAAGGTTTTTCTTTCTACTTGTATTTACAAACAGTCTGCTTGTAGCATTCTTGATCATCTCAAATTATACAGCAAATGCTTTGTGATCATTAGTAAAATGCAAAAAAATCTGTTTAAATGTGACTTTAAATGTTGTAAAAAATATACTGTTAAAATGATTTATCTGAACTAAAACGTTGAAACTTTTGCGGCACTTCTACTGTTACAGAGCACAGCAGATGCGTCTGGACAATCATTTTTAAAATAAACGGTTTAAATGCTGTAAAAATGAACAGTTAGTGTAGCCCAAATAAGGGCTTTAGAAATCTCCCTTCTGATCATATTTATTCATCTACATGAGAAAAATGAAAATGTATGTCTATCATGGTAAATTAATACGTTTGCTGTTAAATGCCCCTTCAGAATGGCTGATGTCTTTATTATTAAATTGTGTTTTAGTGTGTTTAATTTAATTATAATTCATTGAGCTATTATGTAAGAATTATGAAACATCATTCATCATATCAGTTGGTAGCCTACAGACAATTACAGTACAATCATTCAGCCATTCAGTTTATTGCTATTATAACACAGTTAAAACAGTTCATAACGAAAATACTGGAAATCAACATAAATCACACATTATGAAAATGGTGTATTGACAAAGAAATATGAAATGCGTGGCAGTGTAGAGAATGAAAGGAAATATTAAAAACGACTCATCGACACTAGATGGCATCAACGTAAGCAGTATTCAGAGGTTTTGAGAGATGAACCATTTTATGATCCAAGAGAGGAAAGCACTGATAAGCAAAAGTTTTGACAATACTGAACAACACATTTAGACCACATTATCTTTTGAACGTAATCATGTTTCATTCCTCAACTGAAATTGAAAATCATTTATACTTTTTTTTTTTTAGAAACTTCTATTTGCATCCACATATCAAACTTATTGTTTGCTTTAATAACGGTATATGTTCATCTTTACAAAACTCCAAGATATGTCACAACATTTATGATATCTGTTTCTTGTCTTCTCCTCCTGTAGCTCTGATGTCACGCCCAGAAAAGCAGAGACGACCAATCAGATCACAGCTTCAGTAGAACCACAACAGTGGACGTGGATGTGGTGAAAAAAGCCAAAAACATGTGTTTTGATACTTTTGCCTGTCTATAGCATGAGAAAAAAATATAGCATAATGCTGCCATCAAGACAACGTCTTTCTCAGAGTGGTCCCTGCTTATTTCAGCAAGACAACGCCAAGATTCATTCTGCACTTGTTACAACAAAACGATCAAGTGATTTTCCTCCATACGAAATTTTAATTGCACTGCATACATACATACATTTATGCACTTTAGCCTTTGTTTCATACATAACATCACTAGTAAATGATCTTAAAACATGTTTAGTTTGGTGTAGATGGTCTCTCTGACTAACCAGCTAAGTGTTCAAACTCTTTAAAAGCATCAAACAGACAGCTACCAGCTAAACAAGCTTATGTTGGTTTAAGATATTTTTCAGCAGCGCTAACAAGTCCAACATATTCAACTTTAATCATGTCTGATCATAACTGCATTGTCAATATCTTATCCCACCTTTGGAATTTAAAGCACACATCATCCTGGGATAGCACTATCATGTAACCAGGAACAATGTAACCATTATGTAATACGTGCCATTTATTCTTTACTTTATTTTATGTGTCTCTGTTTCTTAATTTTTGTTGCATTGATTTATGAGGTGAACACCAGTTAAAACAATGGGAATCTATTTTGTCCTCACTCTGTTTGTGTTTCTCGTTGATGGTAAGTCGCTTGACTTTGTATTTACAACCCTTTCTCTTTTAAGTGGACAGTTTAATTTCACATCAAAGCTGTCTTTCTTTGTCTTGCTTTACTCATAATTCCCTGAAATTTAGTACAATTCAGGAATTTGAAGGTCCATGATTTTAGTCTTAAAGAAAACTTTTTTTACATGCAGGATTGTATTTCTTAGTTACTGTATAATTGAATTTATGCAGAATTGCATTTATGTCTCTGTATTTCTAGTATGCTTTAAAGCAGTTCGAGAACTGCAGAATCTGAGCAAGACGACTAAAGACCAATGCCCAATGTCACTTTATAGATATACAAACAAACAACTTGCCTTTTTGATCAGTTTTTCTACATTTCCTGCACGTGAGAAATATCCCGAATGCAGCCACAATCAACAGAGATCCAGCCACAGCAGCAACAGAGATCAACACTATCAGATACAGAGAGCCTGTAATAATAGACAGACACAATCATTAGTGTCAGCCTGATCTGTATTTAAGTGAACATCCCACTCAGATTTTGCTGCTTTACTTGTTGACATCATATAGTTGGTTTACTGTTTGCTTCTGATTCAGATTCTGATTGTGAATTTGATATTCAATTCAATTCAAATTTATTTGTATAGCGCTTTTTACAATACAAATCATTGTAAAGCAGCTTTACAGCAAATTAAGTTTCTACAATATTTAGTAGTAGCTAATCAGTTGTGACTGTCAGTTAATGTACATATGGCAGAAATGTACGGAAAAATCAATTAAAGACGAAATCAAACAGACGATGAACACTATTAAAAGCAATTATTATATGATGCAATCAAACTTATACTGTAGCAAAATGTGGTAGTTCTGTATGTTGTTTCAGGGTTGGCATCATCTGAGGTCCTCTGAGGGGTTGGCATCCTCTCTTCTCAGATATTCTGGATCCATGTTATGTTTGCTATAGGCCTTTTTGTCACTTCCTGGCTGGAGTGCCATGTTTGTAGTTCTTTGTAGTTTTATCAGGTGATTGTCTGCCCCAGGTGTACCTCATTTGCATTCACCCTTTTGCTTTTTCAGTTGTCGAATGTCGATGTGTTTCTGTTCCCTACAGTCCTTGTTTCTTGTTTTGACTTTAAGTTTAAAAAATAATATCCTCTTGCATTTAGATCTGTCTCTTTGCCTGCTTTCTCTTCTACTCCACCATTATTACAGTGTCACATTTACATTCACATTTGCATAGTCAAATTTAACAGGCAAAGTCAGAAAAAGTGGGACTGAATGTAAAGCGTGTGTGAAAGCTACACTTATTCTGGGTTGTGGACTACTAGGCAACGAACCAGTGCTAATCTAATGTTTTTGGCCTGTAGATTAATATAACATTTAGTTCTGTCTCACAACTACATTCCAAGCAGCTCTTTTTCGTGTGTATATTTTTATTCACAAGTTCAGTTATAAAGCAGCGACTAGATACAAATGCACTGTGTGTGTTTTGTGTAGCTTAATGTGTTATTGAACAGCTGTTGGTTAACAGATCAGTGAATAAACACTAATCTCGCCATTGTCATACCTGAACATGAGTAACAGAGTTGAGTGATGTCCAGATGTGTGGTCTGGTTGCTGATGGGATTGTTGAGCACACAGCTGTAGCTGTTTTTATCCTGATATTCCACCTCCAGAGGTAGAGAGAGACTGATGCTGAGATCAGACACACTGATGCTGGAGAATAAACTGTTTCCTTTGTACCAGGAGAGAGTCACATGACCCACATTCACCACTGAACACACCAATGAACAATATGATGATGATGATGAAGAACAGTGTGAAGAGTCTCTGCTGATGACAGGAACAGGCAGACGAGCTGAAAATATGAGATAAATCAGATTAAATAATGTTAGTTCATTGTGTTCAAACAATATACTATTGTGATTGCAGTTTTATTTTGATTTTTTTTTTTTTATATACTAACTTCATAATAATAAATCAAATTATTGATTTAGTAGAGTCCCGGGTCATGCTCACTCATATTTATTTGTTTGTTTGCTTATATATTTATTTTTTGTGATATGGTGTTTTGTGCCATATCATCTATGCAAAGTTGGTGCAATAAAGTAACATCATAGTTAACAATTACTTGTTTAGGATACATCTTTGTAATGTATTTTATATTATTTAGTCACTTATGGGCTATAGTTTGAATTGTTCTAATTCAACATGCCATGGGAAGTCAATCTATAACATTTTCTTATATTGATATTGTTTATTTCTTACTCCTTAACAGTTCATCAGGCTCTCAATGCTTTAATCTATGCAATATTTTGGAATATCTGAAGGCCATGTAGCATAGTTCTTAACTGTAGCATTTGTTATAATAAGACTAGCCTATTAATCTTTACCAGGCCAATAATGACTTTTTTTATTTTTATGAATTAATATAGCATGTGTTATGAAGAAACAACCGCCTGCACATTTAGAACCATTAGCTACAACATGCCACAGTTGTAATATAAATCTATAGGGGAAAAAATCTATTCTCTTAACAGATCATCTAATATAAATTCTATACAACAAGTTAGACTAAATTTTGCACACTAAATAAGCCTACAATAAAACGTGATAAATTCTAGTAAAGGTGGTCATAAATAGTTGAAAAAGATTGTAACCTAATATATGTGCTGGTTCAAGGCTGTTTTCTCCTCTTTTCATCAGTTTATTTGCCTTTTTTTAGAAAACATGCTTTTAAAGAGACTCAGTGCTTTTACTTTCATTTTTTGACTAGACTATGCGCAATAGGCTACGCGATATGCATGTTTTAATTTGACACACAAGATAACGATTATTGTAATTTGGGTTCTCTTTGGTTTGGAAGAACGAAGGAGAAAATACATAAGTAGATCAACGGAGCATCGCCGTTTGAATCTGCTCTAACAGAAACCAAGGTTGACATGATGGGATGCTATTTTGTGCCAACTCTTTTTATTTTCCTCGTTCATGGTAAGACGCTTACATTTGTATCCTCTGCCCTTTTGGTTTTCAGTGATGGAAAATGGCGATTTCACATCAACTCTTGGATTGTATTTGTCGCTGTTTTAAATAATTAAATAGGCTATTTTAATAATACAGTGCCACGATTGTCCTTATTCTGTGTTTCGGGATGGCATTTATTTTAGGTAGCCAGTTCCTGTTCTGGAGAAGGAAATTGCGAAAAGCGACACATGAATGTTAGGTTAGTTTAGTGACAATGCATAACACATACGGACGTGTAGTCTAGAGAGAATGTGTAGCCTGCATTTGACTGTCATCGGCCTGATTAAGCACATTGAATATATGAGTTCTTTCATTTTCTACCAGATTTCTCAAGGAAAAAGGTTGAGTGCTAATTCAATGGTTCATCAACATAAAACTGGATTTCTGATGCGCTGAAGGTTAAATTGACTCTGCTCAACATTTTCAGCAGAAATGTTTTAGGGATGATTCAATTTATGACGTTATTGATACCCCTGCAATGGTTGTCAGGATTATAGACAGTTTTGGTTTTGTTTTGTATTGTATCCTATGTGTTGCGTGTCTGTTTCTGTGGTATCTGATTAGCCAACACCCGTTTCTGTTCTCCCTGATTACACTTCCTGTATACTGACCTCCTTAGAAAAAAAAGAAGACAATGTTTATGTGGGGAAAAAAGTGAAGTCAAACTGTGAAATGGATGGTAATGTGAAAGACAAATTGTTGTGATGAAGGATGTTATTCAAGCAATAATGTTCCTGTACATTAGAGGAGCACAGCATGTATATGCTTACAATTGGTTAAACATGGTTACATTATGTATATTATGCCACAATAGTAACATTCTTGGGTTCACAAAGTTCATTGTTTGGGGAAGAGGAAATGTAGTGATATCTGATTAGTGAGATCACTAAGCAGGGGGTCTGGTACTGTGTGAGTGTTCAATAAAGTTCAGTTACGTACCTGCTACGCTGTGTGATCAGTACGCTGCATCGGCTCATCCATGAACGCAACACCTGTGAAACTTGCCAGGTGTTTCCCTTCCTACAGGTTGAGACACTGGGATGGACTCCAGCGTCTCTACAATAGGACAAAGGTTCTTGACTGAATGTTTAAGAACCCTTTATGACAAACAGGTTCTTTATAAGGAGAAATATCTTAAATGATTGCTTACTATTTTCATGTTTAACATGTTCTTTTTTTTCTAATGATGAAGCATGCTTATGAACTGTTTTATTCATAACACTTCATTAAAATTATATAAAATAAACATTATTGAGTAACTATATATTTGTGTTTCCAGGTGTTTTTGGTGAGGATGTGGTGACGGTGATGGAGGGAGATACAGTCACTCTACACACTGATATCAACAAAAAAGAACATGACAAGATGCTGTGGTATTTTGAAGACACTCGCATAGCTCTGATCAATGGACATCCCAATATGAGCTGTTTATATGATGGTGAAGACGGGAGATTCAGAGACAGACTGAAGGTGGACTATAAGACTGGATCTCTGATCATCACAAACATCACAACTGAACACGCTGGACGTTATGAAGCAGAGATCATCAGAAGCGAGAGTTCAGGCAAAAGGCAAAGTTTGAACAGAAACCGAAGGTGTGACAGCAAAAAAATCACCAAAAAAATCAGCATCAGTCATGATGATACCATGAAGACTGTAGCGTCTGGACCAATCCAACACACTATATATTCTCTTT